CCAGCGCCGCGCTCCGCAGGCACCTGCCCCGCGCCGAGCCGCTGGGGCAGCTCAGCTCCCTGCAGAGCCTGCTGGGCTGCCAGGGCCCCCTGCACGCCTACTACGGGCAGCTGTGCCCGCCCGCCGGCCCGGCCCGAGCTCTCCAGCTCCCGCCGCAGCCCTGCCAGCCCTCGCCGCCGCCCGAGGCGCAGCAGTGCAGGGAGCCGCTGGAGCACCTGTCGCAGGACGAACTGCTGGGCGACGTGGATCGCACCGAATTCGAGCAGTACCTGCACTTCGCCTGCAAGCCCGAGCTAGGGCTCCACTTCCCGGGCCACGAAGCCGGCCTGCCCGCGCCAGACGCCCACGGGCCCATCTCCTCCGTGGTTTCGGATGCAAGTACTGCTGTGTATTACTGCACTTACCCAGACGCCTGAGAGACACGGTCACTCCCAGCGCTCTCGCTGTGTGAAGTAGCTGGGAGTGTGTGGCGGACTCCCTGGTGATGGGAGCCTTGTACAGAAGGGTGTGTGCTTTGCTCCTATTTATGTAATTTATTGGAATCTTGAGAACTGACAGGTGACAGAGACCCACTCAAGGGTTGAAAGACAGCTCTCCATCTGATCCCCAAGTGGTGCAATTCTAGTGTTTCACCCTGAACTGAAAATTAAAACTATTTAAACTTCAGATAGCTGCACAGTTGGACTGTAACTTATCAGCTCCTGGAAGAGTTCACGATGCTGTTTAAAATGTTGTGACTGTTCAAATTTATACATATGGAATTTGGGTTTTGTACAGACTAATTTTGCACTTTTACAAATAAAGGGAAAAATAATAAAATTTTTCATTTTTATGTCCCCTTACATCTACAATTAGTATTCTTTTAATGTATTTGATAGTTACTGAATTGTTCCCTTTAGTAGCTAACTATTTAGATGAATGTCCTGTTTTCATTCAAAGTCTTTACAGTAAAGAGAACTTCATTATACTTAAATATAAGTAATCGGAGGTAATGTCAAACGACTTTTTTATTATTTTTATTATTATTTTTTAAATCTGGGTTTTATCTTAGTTAAATGGCAGAAGGAATTGATAAATATCTCTCCCCTCAAAATATTGTTTATTAGAAAATTCAGATATTGATGTGGGTTTTTTTAGGGATTTGGTTTGGAGAGGCTGAGTCTAAAAAAAAATTTAATCGAACCTGCTTTATCTGTATGCTTATAGTAAAATTGAAGTTAAAGGGGAAAGGAAATATTACACCAACATATTTAAGCTCTTTGTCGTGCATCTAATGAATCGTCCAGACGTTTGAATTCATTGGGAAACAGGATTGTTCTTTAAAAGTGCCAACCAACAAATGCAACTAGCTCATGTAGAAATAATGTAGTCTGCGACTGAACGCCTGTCTTCAGTGTATGTGGAAGAGGATTCACTTACAGGAAAAGACTGAGGGGAGTCAATGTCCTCTCAAGCATAAATCTGACATTGTATTTTAGTTAACACACTGTAACACACGTGCAAATCGGGGGCTTTTAGAGTTCAATTTTCCATAGCTGATTCCCAAATATTCAGGAAGCTGTTATTTTTGTAACCGAGCATTCCATTAATAAGTTAAAATAGGAATTTAGACGTTAGTGTTCTTACTGGTAAGCATTACTACTTCATTTAGGTCTGACCTTGCAAATATGTCAGTGCCACTTCAGATAGAAAAACCTTTCGGTGCGGTCATTCCAGTGTTTCTGTTAAAAACACATGCATAATTACAAGGGATTAAAATGTTTAATTTCAGAAAACTTTTTCAGCTAAGACGAAGTAGGGGTGGATCAAGTGGCGACATTGGATTTATAAATTCATATTCAGTTTTAGGGCAGGCTTCTGCTTCCTTTATTTATCCTAAGTAACACTTCACTCCCAGTGAAATCAATGACACTATTTGAAGTATTGTACTGCCCGAGGCATGGGTGGCAGAATAGAACCCTTGGAGCTGGGGTGAGAGAGAAGGTCTAGCTATCCTATGATTCACCTGACTTTCATCTGGACAGTGAAATGAAATAGTGTCCTTTACCTGAAAACTGATGCAGACATCGCCTGATCCATGAATGTTGGATCAGGCCCTAACGCAGTTATGTGGTATTATGTCTGAAATGTAGCATATGACTTCATTATAGTAGCAACTTTTGAATTAGAACATAAAGCTCACTTTCTTTGTACAATGTTCTACTCTCAAGATTCCTAAAATAGTCGGCATCATTCCCTGTTGCTCTTTTCACTGTGCACTGGTGGTGTGACTGTGTGCTGTGTACTCCACACCATTCTGTGTCTCCTTACTCAGGTTAGCTGAGAGCAGATCCCTTGTGTTTGGAATTCTACAGATAATTTTGTCCTAATATATGCAAAAATATGACATCGGGCATAGGGTTTGCCTAGGAGTAATGATACAATTCATTAGGGAGAGGCCCTTTCAAACAAATTAATTAGGACCAGATTTCAAATGTTACCGTACCTTTGCTTGCCTACATTTTTTGCACCTGGAAATCACAGGCACAATTTAGATAATTTATACTTCTAAACACTTGTGTGGGCAGTTGGATGTAAATATTCTAAATTGCCTATGTTTCTGCAAAATCTCTGCTAGGCACCAATCAGTGTGGTATTTAAGGGAAAGGAAAAATACTACTCTTAAAAGATGCACTACTTTACTTTTCATTGCTTTTCGTTACAATCCAGTGGCACTCTGCTTTACTCTAAAAAATAGAGCCCCATGTCTAGAGGATGGGCCTGTGTGAAAAGGGTCATGACTTGACCAAAAATGGTAAAATTTTCAAACCATGTCAAATTATTCTTAGGCTGCCTTTTGGAAAAGGCGCATCCAGACTTTTTTTTGCTCCATTTGTGTACGTGCAAAAACACAGCAGATCTGTTTTATCATTAGACTACAGAAGGATATTAATGTCCTTAGTTGATATTAAGTGTGTGTGAGGGGGATTATTTATTCCAGTTTTTGATGTGACTATATTGAATGAGCTATGTGGACCTTGCAATTTTAGCCAAATATCGTTGAATGTTTTCTGTCAGGTAAAGAAATTAGCAAGTCCATTTTGGACTGGCTATCTAGCGCAAGATGCGGACATGTTATTCGCAAGTAACTAGGGATAATACAAGGTTGAAGCCCAAGCTGGGGTTGGTAGAATCATGGTTGTTGCGATCAGCCCAGCAGCTCTCCAAGCAGATCCCGGAGCAGAATTCGGTATAAATTAGGATGCCCTGATGCCATGCAGAGATCCCTTAAAACGTCAGCATAAAAATGTATCTGTAATAGAGCTTTTAACCTGCACATATATTTCAGAGACTCGGACAAATTCAGTAAAAACAGTCAAATTCCCCGCAATCTCAATGAGAAAATTAGATGATCATGTCTGATCAAAAATAACGTTTAGAGAAATGTTCCTAAGTACAGATATACATGATACCCACTCAAATATACTGGGAAAGTACCGTGGTGGTATTTTGTTTGTTTGAATTACCGTGCCTTTAATAATGCAGGCCACAGCTAGCTATGGAAAATAGTTTCAATTAATCGTCACCCGTCCTTTTTGGCAGAAATTGTCCTGGTTCTTCCCTGGGTCTGAAATTGCTTGGAAATAAATAGGTGACTTTGTGGCTTTTGGGTCGGAGGAACATCTCTAGCTGTTTTTGAGATATGGGTTGAATTCCTTTCCTTGTCTCCACCCCCTCCGTAAAATTGCCAGCCCCTTTTCACATAGTTAAAAAAATGGGTGAACTTTGAAATATGTCATGTACATAAATTATGTCCATGACCAAATGTGAAAAAAGTTTACATAACAATTAGAGCTGGGAATAATTACCGGTGAGTGTTATTTGATAAATTTAGCCTTTTTTTTTGATGGAGATGTAGGTGTGTTGGGGGGTAAACTGTATACAAACAGTTTATGAACATGTTTATTCACTAATCAAACATTTGACAGATTGCGTCTATTAATATTTTTTGGTATGTAGATAATTTCTCAACAGTTCGATTAGAGTATTTGGCATCTGAAATTTGGGACGTGTTTTTTAATTGATTTGATACATGGTTTAGTTGATATAGTTCCTCTTCCCTATTTGAGTAAGAATCGGGTTTCTGGCGCCCAATATTCCCTTTTAGGAGTTCAAAATTGACACTGAATATTTGGTCAAGTTAATTTAAAATGTAGCAATGTTTGAGAACTGCCCCAGCACTCCGGGTAACATTTCTAACAGTTCCTGCGCCTTGACTTTCAGAAAATTAGACTTAAATTAGGCTCCTAAATCACGTAGCCACTTTTGACAATGTTACACAATGTTCTCTAGGATATTTATGAAAAGTGACTATAGAAAGCCCAGGAAAACAGCCCAAGTGAATTTAGTTCTGAATGGTAAGAATGTTCGTGGACATTTGTTGAAAGATCTTAACATTTAACCACTTACGCATTTGTTATCATGCTTTGAAGGCGTTTGTGACAGATTTGTAACATACTAAGACAAGTCCTGCCGGGGGAGCAATTTACATAAAGAATATGTTAAATGTTTTCTTGACGCATACACAGTCTTCTGCTCATCCTTACCATCCCCCCCTCCTCCTAACCAAAAACAAACAAAGGCCTCTCTACTGTCTTAACAGCAGGATTAGAAGCAAGTCCTGGCCCGGGAAAAAAGATCTTGCGATTTGAAGTTTTCATATTTTCACTTGCAAAGATACAGCAATCAGCTTAACCTAACCTTAAAGTCTCCAGCTAAACAATAGCGTTAGCAAGTCAGTTTCTTAAATCCATTTATTTAAACGAAGTGTGAACTCTGTCGTAGGATTTCGAAACTTAATTAAGATCACTTAAACCCCAAGGTTATTAAGGTTGGGCTTCCTCCTATTTAAAAATCCCACACCAGGTAATGACTCATCTATACACAATTACCTTGTTGAGGTTCCCAAGCACAGCACGCTAGTTCTGTGACACAGTAAAGCACATACCGTGTTGTGTAGTTGAGTGCATATGAGCCTTGACATTTTTTACATTTTCCCCGTTAGAGCTAGTGTACTCCCAATTCTGCACAGATTTCAGTAAATCGGTGGGAAAAAAACCAATGATTTAGGTCTTGTCTATATAGGATGGTTTATGGGGTATAATCTTAAAGTGTGAATTTAAACCAATATATAGTTATACCGGCTAGTCCGTTATGTGAACACTCTTATGCTAGTATAAACGGTTGTTTACACAGGGAGTTTATTACACAATAACTATTTAGGAATAACTGCCTGTGTGGACTCTCTTATCCCAGAATAAGATTGCTTGGTTCTGGTTTAGTTTAATCTATTTTTAAGTAAACAGGAAAAGGGCACTCCTATTATTCCAGAATAAGCATGTCCAAACGTGGAGTTATTCAGAATAGCTATTCCACTTTAAATCCACAATCTACCTTACTCCAAATTAATTTTCAAGAGTAGATCTTGTCTACATAAAGAAACGAATTCGGATTAAGGTAGGGTGTGAATTTAAAGTGGATAATGCCATAAGCAAATCAGGAATAGCTATTCTGCTTTAAATTCACAAGCCCTAAAGCCTTTTTACAGTTTAATTTATGTTCCCCAGGAAAGGGTTTTATTAACTTCACCCCAAAAAGCTATTCACAGCAGAACAAGAGTGTCCAGTAATACTGATACAAAGGTGTAGGTTGCACCCCTGTAAACAACGTGGAATCTCTAGTGTAGAGGGCTCTGACAGGCCATTTACAGCACCAAGTCAATTAAATCAGCCTGGTACTGAAAATGGTGCTGGAGCTGGAGACCCATCTGCACCAGGGCTCCCAGTTTTGCTAATATTGGTGTAGTTGCAGAGGGATTAGCAATGATGGGACATTTTTATTAAAATTCCCTAGTGTTGATGAGGCCCTGAATGCAGATTTATCATTTTTTTTACATTTAGGCTCAATCTAAACTATACAAAGAACCATGTTAGGGAGAACAGTTAAATCAGAAATGTCTTCACTTTAGGACTATATAATTTTATAGAGGCTATAGATTAAAGGCTCTGATCCTTTAAATACAATTCCTACAGACTTTACTGAATTACGCTAATTTGATATAAGTAGGTTTGAATTGGTTCGCGTGGATCCACAGCAGGGGTTTGCACTGATTTAACTAGGTAGATTTAAAATCAATACAATTTCACCCAAAGCAACTTTGTTTCTAGTATAGACAGGGTCTAAGCTTGTAAACTCATTCTGTCAGGGACCAAGCCCTCCTATATGTCTGTTCAGCTCTTGAAAGCTTCTCGGGGTTATTGTAATGTAAACGCCATTATTAATTTGTTATTATTTTACTAGTGCGGACTCCGTCCTGACCCCGGTGCTCTGTGCTGCGCGGTTGCGTGGCTGGCTCCAGCAGGGCGGCGTGGCTGCCTGTCCTGGTGCTCTGGGAGGTGTGGCTGTAGCGCCGCCAGCCACCGGTGCTCCGGGCAGCGGGGTCAGGGGGCAGAGAGGGGGTGGGGGAGTTTGGATAGGGGTCGGGGCGATCAGAGGGTGGGGAACAGGGGGGTTGAATGAGGGCAGGAGTCGGGGGCAGTCAGGAAGGAGAGGGGGGTTGGATGGCGCCGCGGGGGGCAGTCAGGGGACGGGGGAAAGGAGTAGGGGACCCGGGGGGCTGTCAGGGGGGAGGAGGGTGGATGGGGCAGGAGTCCTGTGGGGGCATCAGGGGGGAGAAGCAGGGGGGTCGGATAGGGGGCGGGGCCGGGCCACACCTGGCTGTTTGGGGAGGCACAGACTCCCCTAACTGGCCCTCCATACAATTTCAGAAACCCGATATGGCCCTCAGGCCAAAAAGTTTGCCCACCCCTGGTCTAGAGGCAGCATCTGAGATCAGCATCAGGCCTGTGGGGGGCAGGGACAGAAGTAGCTGGGGTAGGATTGGGGGAAAGGCAGAGAGCTGAGCAGAGGGTAGGATGGGGCAGGTGCAAGAGGAGCTGGGGTGGGAGTAGGATTGAGGGGGTGGGAGCAGTAGGAGTTAAGGGAATGGATGTGGATCAAAGGAGCTGGTGTAGAGGGCAGAAGGAGCTGGGACAGGGAATAAGGATGGAGATGGGATAGCATGGGAGGTTAGGGCCAGTAGAAGCTGGGGAAGTTGTGGGGGTGGAACAGTGTGTTTTATCCCTTCCCCCAACTCCTATCCTGTCTGTCTGTCTATTTAGATTGTAAAATCTTTGGGGAAGGGATTATCTACTACCTTGTATTTGTTCAGTGCCTAGCACAAGAGGGTCCCATTCTTGGTTGGCCTTTAGGTACTACCATAATAAATATGATTAATAATCATTAATCAGAGCCTCATTGTAGGAGGCATCATACAGACACATACCAAGAGATAGTCCCTGCTTTGAAGAGTTTATAATTTAAATCAACAACAATGACAAATGGTAGGAGGAAAAATGATCAGCTACCTCAATGTAATTACACTCCTGCAAATTCTACTGGAGCCAGGACCAGAGGCCCAAATTCTGTAAACAAATACGAGCTTAACTTTAACCACAGGAATAATTAAGTGCTTGCAAGACTGGGGAAGTCTTTCCCCCAGTTTCCCATTTGTAAAATGAAAATAATATATTAAATAAATAAATTAATGGAGATATCCTATCTCCTAGAACTGGAAGGGACCTTGAAAGATCATTGAGTCCAGCCCCCTGCCTTCACTAGCAGGACCAAGTACTGATTTTGCCCCAGATTGCTAAGATTTTGCCCCCTCAAGGATTCAACTCACAACCCTGGGTTTAAAAGGCCAATGCTCAAACCACTGAGCTATCCCTCCCCTTCCTTTTCCCCCTCTTTTCTATTTTGTCAGTTTGGACGGAAAGCTCTTCAGGACAGGGACAGTGTCCTACTATTTGTCCAGTATCTAGCACAGTGTACTGTGCAGCTGGGACTTCCAGTCAATGGGACTACACAGGTGCTTAATGTTAAACACCTGTCTAAATGTTTGGGCCTAATGACTTACCAAGGCCATCCAGGGAGTCCGTGGTAGAGCCAGGAACTGAGCCAAGAGCTAAGTCTTGATCTAGTGCCTTAACTATTCATGTCATTTTCAGTATTTCCATTTAAAGTTATGAGTGACTTTCTGTTAGTACAGATGCTGTCCAAGCTGCTCTTTCATCATATGTTTACAGGAAGAAGAAAAAAGTTGGTAGTGGGAATAAAACCCAGAAATGTGTACACAGCAAAGTATTCAGCTGTGCACACAAATTCCATGTACAATTGAGTTATTGGCCCAATCTCCCTAGTGCCTAGCCATTAGAGGAAGGAACTGCATAGAGTCATCTTGCTTCTGGCAAGTATCTATAATAAATTAATAATACATTATTTGCTCCTGTACAGGGCTCTTCCATATGAGGATCTCATAGTGCTTACAAATGCCTATGAATTTTGCCTCACAACATCCCTTGTGACTAAGGTGAGTTTATAATATACTACTTCTAAAATGTGTATAAAACAACCAATTTTATTTTTATTTGTATATTTTGGAGGCAGCATATGGCATATCTACCCTTCCCCCAATAAGATCCTATGTCCCTCTTTATTCTCTACATTTTGGTGCTCTGATATCACTAATATACAGGAACGGTGGTGGTAATCCAGAACAGGAGCTCCTCCATCTGCATTGATTTCAGCATGTGGAGCCTGCTAAAGCATCAAATCCTATGAAGTTGTTACTAGCAGTGCCCAGAGCACATTGAAGGAATGACAGGCTTTGGCCGGTAGTCACCAAAAGGTGACTTATGCGCTGGCCTGTAAATATAACTATGATTTTACTCCAAAGTTTCTGTATCCTAAGTGTATGTAAATTCCATGGGAATATACAACCAGCCTCCCAAGTATTCTGCAGTTCCTGCACTGCAGAACTGTGAAGCAGATTCTGTTTACAATTTTAAACAAAACAATGTTTCTAGTCCTTAGGGTTGTGAAGATAAAGTTTGTAACTGAGGCAGACATATATTGCTAGCTAGGGATGCAGAAACTCAGCCTACCCCAGCTGAAAGTCAGCTCTATACCCATTCTTAGGAGAGGCAGAAAACGGGGAGACAAAAGGATCACCCCCTCCCCATTAGGAAAATCTTCATCTACCTTTAGATTGCAAAACCAGCACCAGCTCCCCCACCGCATGCTGGATGCTGAGCGTCTCACTGTCAAAACCTCCAGCTTCCCCAGGTCATTTCTAAGATGCAATTATGTTTTGGCCCTACAAAATCTGTCGCCTTTGAAAATTTAGTGGCAAGGTAAAATACACGGGATTGAAGATCAGCATCAATAGCATAATCGGAGTGTTTGTACCATTCATTTCTATATTCCATGTAATATAACCGTCCTGTGAAATCATTGCAAAACCAGGAGACAGAAAATGTAGGGACAACGTTGGGCTGTGAAATAATAATATTTTTCTTGTACTTGTCAAGCTGTTGAATTTTTCTGTACATAAAAAAAATCAATTGCTGATTACAATGTCCCAAGATGTAAGAAGGGGGCAAATTCCTGATTTGAGTCATTTTAGAGTAATGTTAATCTAAAGAATATAGATGATTTGTGGAGAGGTTAAATCGCTGTTCAAATCTACTCTGCAGTTCAAGGAGATAGAATAGAATAGAATAGGTTTGGTCTGCATTGGTTTCTGTAACATCTGCTAAACATTCGACAACGACACCTTTCAATCACTGCTGGCCTTGATCCTTCTTGACCAGTGTGTATTCCATTCCCAAATCTTTCCCCTCCAGCAAACGGTTCGACGGAATGGTTTCTCTTTGTGGAGCCTGTCGTTAAACTACTCACTTGCTAATGGTTTGGGTCCTTTGAGGTAGATTAAGGACTAAATTAATGGGTTAAATTACTTTATTTTATAAGAAATACACAAAATTGCTTGCATGTTATCATTTGAAACACGGGCAGGGGAAGAATTCTAAAGAAGCCAAAGTAATTAGTACATTTGCTTCTAGAGAAGAAGACGACGACCAAAAAACAAACAAAACCAAAACCAAAACCCCCACAAACAAACGAATGCACAATCCCCTTGGTCATCATGGGTACTTGGCACCTGAACTCTGAGATTCTGGGCACTGCAGCCAGTCATAACACTGCATATGTTTAACATTATCCAGTGATTTCCTCTTTCACCCTTGCCAGCTATTTGGTGGAGAGGAGTTGACAAAGAGTTGCATACTTCATCGGGGGGGAAAAGTGTTGCGCTTACTTGCCAGATGGACTTAATTAACCTAAAGCATGATTCATTCATTCATTCATTCATTCAATATTAATTTATTTGTCGAGAGCTGTCCAAACAGACTTCCTTATCTCAATAAGAATGTCTCACAATCTAATGTTTAAGGACACTTGATGTTTTCGGAGAATATTGATATATTTAATTATAACACATTTAAAAACAAAAATATTTCATAAAGAGACAATTAAAAGGCAATTTTAAGAAAAACTTATTTCAGAAATCGGTATAATTTTAATGTCACTTACACACATTTCGATATAAAACACAACCAGGGACACGTTTCACGTTAAATAAACTGAGTGTTGCTTAGTTTTTAATACTAGTACACTAAACATGAAGCAGGTGATTTGTCAAGCTAAGACATAGACGAGAGTCCATGTATGAGATGATCTCCAGGGCCAATACAAACAATCCATATAAAAGATCTCTCGTTATGCATTCCACCTCCCGTGTCTCCATAGTTAAGGTTACAGCTAAGTATCGGGTTATAATTTGCTCACATGTACGATTTCTTGACCGAATAATTCCCCCCACCCTGAATCCTGGAAAAACCCGTCCCCGCCCGGCGCTGTCTGTCCTGTAACCTGCACAGGTAAAGAGTAGCGGGAAGGGGCGGGGCTGGGACTCTTCCATTCCCCGCTCGGAGCGTCGAGCCCCCCGTCACCTTCCCAGCCCAGACCCCGCCCCCGCCCCGCCATTGGCCGCGGCTCTGGGTAAATGCGGCCGCGCTCTGACAGCTGCCAGCAGTGAGCCTGTTGTCCCCCCCCCCACCACCCCCGAGACCCTGCTTCAATCAGCGGCGTCCCGCGCCCAGCCCCGCGCGCCCAGCCTGCCAGGGGAGCTGTCCCTGCTGCCCCAGCCGAGCCAGGGGGAGAAGGGGCTGCTCGGAGCAGACGGTCCTTTTCCTCCCAGCTGTTGCCCGGGGAGGGGTCGGAGGCGGGTCCGGTTCAGCCCGGCTCCTCCCGGTGGCTCCGGTTGCCCCGAGATGAGCAGCCCCGATGCGGGCTACGCCAGCAGCGACGACCAGACGCAGGCAAGGTGCTCGCTCCCCATCATGATGCCGGCCCTGGGCCCCTGCCAGTGGGCAGAGTCCCTGAGCCCCCTGGCAGACGCCAAGGTGAAGAGTGAGGCGGCCCCGGCGGGGGCTGCGAGCAGCAGGGCCAAAAGCGAGTCCCGCATCCGCCGGCCCATGAACGCCTTCATGGTGTGGGCCAAGGACGAGCGCAAGCGGCTGGCGCAGCAGAACCCGGACCTGCACAACGCGGAGCTCAGCAAGATGCTGGGTGAGTGTCCGCTCGTGAGCCGGGCCGGGGGGGCTTTCTCCTCCCACCTGCCTCGGCCCGGCCCGGAGCTGGGAAGTGGGGGAGGCTCCCCGCACTCTGCGAGCGGCGTGCAGGGAAAGTTACCGAGTGCTGCTGGTACCTGCCCCGCGAGCGAGGCAGCTGCGGGGCCCGGACTGGACCCGGGGCTGGTGCGATGGGGCAGAGGGTATGGCAGGAGTTGCCAATGGCTCTCGCCCAGGGACTGGGTTAGCGAGGGGAGCTCGAGGCGGCGGATGGGGGAATGGAGACGTTCGGGTGCGGGGGGCGGCGCGCCCGGGGTGGGTAGCGGGGATGGAGACGGCCGAGCGTTGGGGGGGGGCGCACAGGAGGGATGGAGGCGGCCAGGTGCTGGGTGGGGCGCACGGAGCGGGGCGCACGGGGAGGCGCACGGAAGAGCCGCAGGGTTACGCGGTTTGTCGCCCCGCAGGGAAGGCCTGGAAGGCGCTGTCGCTGGCGGAGAAGCGGCCGTTCGTGGAGGAGGCGGAGCGGCTGCGGGTGCAGCACATGCAGGACCATCCCAACTACAAGTACCGGCCGCGCCGGCGGAAGCAGGTGAAGCGCCTGAAGCGCGTGGAAAGCGGCTTCCTGCCGCACGGGCTGGCGGAGGCGCCGGGCGCCGGGCTGGCCAGCGAGGGCAGCAGGATGTGCGTGGAGAGCCTGGCCCTGCCCTACCCGGAGCAGGGCTACCCCGCGGTGCAGAGCGCGCTGCCCCCGGCGCTTGGCCACTACCGGGACTGTCAGCCCCTGGCTGCCGCCTTCGACGGCTACAACCTGCCGACCCCGGACCCCTCCCCGCTGGACGCGGCGGAGACCGAGACGGCCTTTTTCACACCGCCCCTGCAGGACGAGTGTCAGCTGGCGCCCTACGGCTACCCCGCGGCCGAGTACTCCACGCACGGGGCCGAGAGCCAGG